CACAGCCCGGTGTTATCTGAATTCAAATCAGATTTTTCTCATGGCAGTGATTTGGAGTCACGGAGAGAGGTGAAGAAAGAGGAAGGCGAGGCCTTTGCCAGAGAACACGGACTGATCTTCATGGAAACTTCTGCAAAGACTGCATCAAACGTAGAAGAGGTAAAACAGCACTTGTGTGGCACCCCTTTATGACGTTTCAATCTCCTATTTAAGGTTCATGCATATTCATAGATTCCCTGCCACACACACACACATGCACGATTATGAGCACACACATCTGCAGCACTCGCTCAGCCATCTCTTTCTCTCTCGGTGGTAATTGAGCCGCAGAGGACTGATGGCTCTGGAGAGCTGAGAGGCAGTTGCACCAAAAAAGCAAAGCTGCTGTTAATTATGCTACAAAGTGCCAGTAGCCGGGCTTAACACTTTAAAGGTGAGCCGTGCACATGGCCATGTTTATTTTCTCTGGGTGACCAATGTGTGCTCCATTCCAATAATAATAGACAACATCACTTTCAGCCAGATGGGGGCACCAGCCATCAACTGTAGAAACTCTGACTCTTTGAATATGTCAAGCTGATCTAATTTATTCATGAACTATATTGATTCCAGTATGCGGTATTGTTTTGTGTCCAATGTTGGCTGTGATTTGCATTGGTCTCATTGAAGTTCTGTTTGAGTTGATCAGCTTAAGCAGTTGAAGGATGGCATTTTAATCACAAGGATAACATTATGGCTCTTTTTGTGTTTCAGGCATTTATCAACACGGCCAAGGAAATTTATGAAAAGATCCAGGAGGGAGTCTTTGATATAAACAACGAGGTAACCCATATGAAAAGGAAGCACATTCTTTGTTTGCTGTTACAAGTTAAAAATAATTGGGTCAAGAGGACTTCCTGTAGCATTACACTGAAATCCATTATGTATGGTTTGGTGGGTAGATTCTGAAACTTTCAGCACAGACTTGCTAGTTTCCCTATTTAATATAGAGAGACAAAAAAGTCAACATTGTGGCTCTGCGACCAGCTTAACCAATGACGTGAATTCTTAGGTTGGACTATATGATCATTCAAACTTTTTTAAATGTAACTTGTTCACAGTTTAGGTAATTATGCATGCAACTATTACGCACAGACTCGGGAGAAAAACATTCGGATCTCTGCGGTGGAAGCCAAGAAGCTAAAGCAGGGCTTAGAGCTGGCTTTAAAAGAACGGGGGTTTTTGTGTTTCAGGCATTTATCAACACGGCCAAGGAAATTTATGAAAAGATCCAGGAGGGAGTCTTTGATATAAACAACGAGGTAACCCATATGAAAAGGAAGCACATTCTTTGTTTGCTGTTACAAGTTAAAAATAATTGGGTCAAGAGGACTTCCTGTAGCATTACACTGAAATCCATTATGTATGGTTTGGTGGGTAGATTCTGAAACTTTCAGCACAGACTTGCTAGTTTCCCTATTTAATATAGAGAGACAAAAAAGTCAACATTGTGGCTCTGCGACCAGCTTAACCAATGACGTGAATTCTTAGGTTGGACTATATGATCATTCAAACTTTTTTAAATGTAACTTGTTCACAGTTTAGGTAATTATGCATGCAACTATTGCTGCTAATATGACAAACACTTCATTGTTTTTCATTAAAAAATACGTTTAATAAAAGAGTAAAATCATATACTAGAGTCTCACATTGGATGGTTGATACCCACTGTGGTAATGTTTTCCCACAGTAGCCACATTGTTGTCCTCAAATCTATGCAAATTCCGATGTAATAGCCAATAGAGCATATCTGTTATTATTATACTGGTTTGCATATGATTGCAGGCATTGTAACAGCCTCTACAATGTTCAGAAATGTAATGGTAGTGAATACTTATACAATTATAAATGCATGTACAACTGAAGTGAGAGGAAGGAGCAGGATGATGACTTACCAGGAACACAGATGTACTCCAGGGAAAGCTCCACACAAGCCCTCTGGCCCTTCAGTTTCTCTCTATTGGCTGGTAGCCAACACGTAAATTCCTCACATCTTGTAAGTTACAGCCAGTTTGATGGAGGTGAGCCCACTGCAGCTATTTTACTGCAGTAGTAGGAAAAGTTTTGTATTTTTTTATTGTTTTGTTGTTTTTTAAGTTTAGGCACAGAGTCCAAACCGCATCAGCTGATAGAGATCCTGGCCAGGAACCTCGAGGCTCACATGTGAGCTCACCCCAGATCACTATAAATCAGATTTGGCGCAATGTAGTTTCCTGAGAAAGTTACAAAAGCGCAGCCTCGCTACGGCGTGTCGGTTTTGAACGCGAGCCCGCTTAAGGGAAAAGTTGGCATGGAGATAGATACCTTTGTGTGATGAATGAAAGTGCCACCAGCTTGGGTGTGTGTGTTTTTAAAGCTCTGGCAGGTTTCCCTGCGTCTCTTGTGTTACCACTGGAATAACACTCCAGAGGTTCTCCCACCTCAGTGCTGACAAAAGCGGCCCACTAATTCAGGCCTACAGGGGCTGGTATTTTCTGCATAATACAGCGTTATGTGACAGTACTAAATCACCATAATTTCACATGAGCTCTTTTAACTTTTGTGAGGTCTTGTCATCTGAAATGGAAATGAGGGTTTAAGTGTTTCTCTTGCTTTCTCTTGGCACTATGTTGTTAATAGATATATGGTTACGGGTTTTATTTGTGTTCGCAGGCTAACGGCATCAAGATTGGACCCCAGCATGCTGCCACCAACTCCACGATGGGCGGCAGTCAGGGAGGACAGCAAGCCGGAGGGGGCTGTTGCTGAGCACTACCCTTTACCCTCCAGTCACTTCCACGTCCCACTCCGTCCCTTACGTTTCTACTGGACTGGTCGGGCTCACTAACATTTTCTTAACCTCCCACAGCCCAGGCCCCGGATTCAAATCATATGTTAGATGGCTGTCCAAAACGATACAACAAAAAAATGTTTATAAAGTCCAGGTCCTCTTCAAACCTCCTGACAAACTCCTGAAGCCTGTTTGGGCTACAGCAGACATTATATGGTTACTAGTAAAGAAAAGACAGGAGCTTTGGAGTTATTATGGTAAATATATTCATGTTTGTTTCTCAGCAAGTTGTCTTTTTTTGTTTTGTTTTGCCCATTTGACTTCAAGCTGAACTGTATTAAACACTACAAATTCATCTATAGTATTTTAATCAGTTTATGTGGGTGAATTCATTGAAAACTGTGGTGAACCCTGAAGTCAAAATAAAAGGAACGTAGAGCTGGTCTAAAAAAGGAACAGCTGTTATCAAAGTGAAGAAGTTAAAAGAAGAAAAAAGCAGGACTGTTTTAAATCTGTATTTATCATTAACATTCTGTATATATAGTTATCATTTCTTGCTTTGGTGTATGTTGACCGAGCTAGAATTCTGTACTGAATTTGCTTAAATTCTATACTGTATGTATAGAGCTTGAAACTGCAGCAGTATTGCGATATTTCCAAAAACGCTTTGACACCATTTTAAGGTAATATTTTACTTAATTTATTTTAGTTTGGTCCTGCCATCTGCCTTGACTCCTCGTATCCGTGCCCCCAATCCTCCTCACTGTAAAGAAACTCTGGCTCTATATTCCTATTTTAATGCCAAATTTGTGTTTACCTGTGTTCTAAAATCATGGCTCCAGATATGGATCACATCTCCAGAACTAGATCTGCTGTTTGCCTTAAAAGATTTTGGGACTTCAAAATAAATAAATAACACGTTCATGTTACACAGGATCATTTCAGTAATTACGTGCAATTATATATTGCATATGATAACGCTAGACTCACTTATCCATTAGACAGACACTCACGCATACATGCCTATACCTATATATCCATACAAGTCGTCACATATGCATGCATTTGTATGCATATAAATATATATATTTTTTTCCCTCTCTTCAAAGTTAATTTTCTCCAATGCAGTCCGCTGTGTAAAGTCAGTGCAGATCCACATTAATTTCGGTGTCTGAGTGATTGTGTAAAGACTTGCTTTCTCTTGGCACTATGTTGTTAATAGATATATGGTGAACATCTTGTCTGTTGTGAATGGGGTGTGATAAAGCCAAACCTGGAGTAACTGTGACCCTCGACTTTATTTGCTGTGTTCTCAAATTAAATGCTACCACGAAAAAAAATATATAATAAAACCCTCTAAACTCAGTTTGCTTGCGTAGTTTTTTTTCTTTTCTTTTTTTGTGCGACGGGGCTAGCTTTGTAGTGGGTTGCATACGACAAAAAATGTCCGATAAAATATATATTTGCTTTTTTCTTTATATTAATGTTTATTTTTTTAGCATAGAAAATTAGTTGAAGTGAAATCATCTGATAATGCAACTTATAACCACAACTTATAACAACAAAGCATTGTCTATAATGGCGCCAGAGGAATGCAACAACCCAAATGTGTTTACGTGCATATAGGTCTGACGTAAAGATCAAGGGCAGGGCTGAACATCAGGGGTACCGCCGCCAACAGGGATTGGCTGGTTCTCGAGACAGGTAAATTCCGCTTGTATGTGTATAGCTTGGTTGCGTATAACTGTTCTAATAATTGTAAAGTTGTGAATGGAAAAGCAACCACAGCATATTAATTGTCTTGTTTAGTTCTACTTTTACAGGTACCGATACAGAAAAATTATTCACAGAAGGCCATTAAAAACCATTTAAATACTATGTGCACACATTTGTTTACATATAAAGCAGCTGTAGAGTTTCTCAGTCAGCCCACAAACATGTTTTAAAACTTAAAACACAAAATCAGATATCAAGGTTTATAATTACACAATGTTCTTTCATCTATTATGTTAGATAAAACATAAACGTTATAAAGTTTCAAAAACTCGGAATACTGAATGAAATATTAAGGAATTTGTCCACGCAAGACTGCATTATCGAAACAATACGTTTCACAAAACTGTTTATAAAGACCTGGCACTTGCGTCACAGCCCGGCGAGGTCACTCACGCGCACGCATGTTATCCAGCAAGTCATGCACGCGCCCCGTGTCTGTGGAAGGTGAGCGAGCGCGAGAGTCTAGAGGAGAGGACGCGAGCCTGGATCGATCGGATTAAACTCGAATTGAGTGAAATTAACACAAAGGAGAGAAGCAGAGTCGGCGAGGACGGGACGCTGAGACGCCGACTTCACCGAAAGAATTTGAATTTCGACAGTTATTCGCGTATTTAAACGGATTTTCGGGATATAAGAAGAGGAGTTAATTGGTGAAAACCCTAAACTGACCCGCGTTGAGTAGGGTAAGGAATCGCCTTTCTTTCTAACGATACAATCTGAATCCACCAACTTTATCAGTCGTACACAAACGTATTAGTTGGTTTCAAACGTTTTTACCATTGTTGTACAAATATACCCGTACTTTCATTGTGAGAAAAATGCTTTTGAGCGTACATTTAACTTGTTTTCTACCACGGTGGTACCCGCGGTATAAACAGTGTTTTAAAACAGCGAAAAGTTGTTTTAATCCAAACCTTAACAGGGAAAACTGAACCCGTACGCTAGTTTCCCCGTTTCTTTGTATTTTAACTTGTCGAAGAATCTCAAAGTAGCTCGAGCACATGCTAACATTAGCTCGTTTAGCTCACGCGCAATGCATTGTATAGAGCCGCACTGATCCCTATAGGAGTGGATGCGAGAAATATGCGAGTTAAATTGCGTACAAGCAATTCATTCCCTTCAAGGTCTAAAACAACGCTTATGTTCTTTATATCCTTCACGAATTGCTAAAACTCATTTTTTTCAAAATCACACAAAGTGAGCGTTCGTTAGCAAGCTAATTGTTGAGACACGAGGTGGTTTGAACGTAGAGGTGAATCATTGGCCGAGCTGAATGAGGGAGATCCCCGACTCCCTTGTATCAACAATTTCACTCAAAAATAGTTTTCAAGCGCACAAAACTGCACGTGAGGATAGCATCAAAGTTGTTGTGCTTGAGTTTTTCGCTTGTGACACTGGATGAGGCTCGTAATGGTATGTGGAAACAGAAAAGCGAGTCGGAAAGTGCGCTCGTCCGAAGGACAATATAGATACCGGGGAAGGTTGCTTGAGGCCAGATGGTCATTCCCTCGTTTTCTTTATTTATTCGTTTATAGGAGTTACAGCTCGGATGTGTTTTACTACGAACATAGATGTGGCTTGTTTTCTGGGCTGGGGAATGTTGTAATTTTTATCGTTTGTTCGGCTGTGAGAAGTGCGCTGGAGAGGCAGGCGTGCGCGGAGGTAATTAGCTGCTTGGAAGTGGCCGATCTGCTGTAGGAGACGGACAGCGTCGACTTCATTGTCTCACAACAAGCTAACTAGCTAGCTGGACAACTCATCTCATTTCTTTTGTCCCCTTTGCCCCTCAACAGGTAGACGGGTTTTAAAGGAGGGGGGATCGGACGACACTTTATTTGAGGGGAACTGAAAAAATGCACCTGGTTTATTATTGGACGAGTTTCCGTGTTTTCAAAAGTTTTCGATTTTGTTTATCTCGTACTATGCGCGAAGTCGAACAGGTATTAGTATCTAATCTTTATATTATACCTCACACGAAACTTGAAAAGCACTTGCTTCGTTTACAACATTGTGAATCCAGGCAGATAAAGCTGTAGTGTTTTTGATGCCCTTTTAACGCGCATCCGCATTTTGTCGTTTAAATTAAATTTTTTCAAAAATATTTAGCTTTTATAAAGTTATTTAAAACACTATTTCAACTAACAATCTAACAAAGAGTCGTTTGAAGATGGTATCGTCGTTGTCTCGCTGCCTCTCAAGTCTTTAACCTAAGATGGCAGCTTTTAATGTGTGTCTGTCCACTCTGAGCAGATATGAAGCCGGTATGGCGGAGCAGATGTGAGACTGCTTTGTAGTCGCTTTAGGCTTTTCATCTCGCTTGCCTTTTCTTGTGGTTGCCGGGGCTTGTTCACTAGTTGCATCAAATCGAAAAGTCAAGTGCTGGTTCCTCTTTTGTCCTAAGAGAAAAGTTTGAATCCAACATGTTGTTCCAGTACACATTTCGTATCTAGTGCAAAGTCGCTTACAAGGCATAACTTCACCCTTATCAAAATACTGGAGTGATTTCAGAGAAAACATGATTTGCGTGAGTTACATAAGCTTCAGAATTGCAGTTCATGTTCAGAGAAATTCTAAGCGATTTAGTATATGTAACTTTTTATTGAACTAACTGGATGGCAACTTAGTTCTCATAACCAAGTTTTTAGCACTTTAAACTAGTGATCAGGGGGTGTTTTCATCTTGTTGTATTGATGTCTCAGCCAAATGTAACTTTTTTGTGTTTTATGCTTTAAATATAAAATTGTAGTTTTGTGACAATGCAAGTATGATGGCATATTTTGCTGAATGTAGTTTATAATCATTTAAGTTCATTGCCTAAAATATTCATACAAGATCCAGGTTCACAAACTCATGTTAATGATAAATAGTGTTGTTTTGGTAGTGGTATGCTTTACCTTGGCCTTTAGACACCTTAACACTGCAGCTTTAAACCAATTGAAATATCTGTGGATTCATATCCTTAGTATGTGCCTGAATGAAACTTCGAAAAAGTCTCTTGTGGGCCTTGATGCAATGAACATGGAAATCGATCCCATAGTTGTACGTAGCACAAAAATGAGTATAGATAAAATTAATTTTAAATGTAACCATTTTAAATTCGTGCAAATCGTCCTGGTGCTAACTAACCAATGACTGGTTGTGACAAATCTTGAGGACCACGTAAGATGTGGGTCAGGCACCCCCTGCATTGACATGTGCGCACAAACACTGGTATTGGACGGCGCTTTCAAGGCTGGTATTTCAGTTATCTGACAACATGCTTTCAATCTACGCCAGGAACAGCACCGCTGTGTGCAGGCCCTTTCCCTCCAACCCCTCCTCTCTAGCCGTGGGTTAGCAGGAGGGCTGCAGTGGCCTGTTGTGCTGCAAAACAAGCAGGCTTTTTTTCCCCTTCCCGCTGACCATCCCCCTCTTCCCTGCCACACAGAAGATGGAGGAACAGTTTCAGATGAATTGCTTGGAATGGATGAGTCTTCTAATATTCAAATGAGAGCTGCTGGACTTTAATGGCTGAAGCTGTTTCTCAGTGAGTTTAGATATTTAAGTTTTCTAAATTTAGGGACTTGCTGCACACGATTCTCTAAGAGAATACCTAATTTTTTCCCTAAAGTTTTTATAAACTTTTTTTATGGGCAGAAAAAAAGTGGTGGAAATTATGTAAAAAATAATCATAAATCTACACTCTACCATTTGAGCTTCTCTGTCAGTATTTTATCAGACCTTTCAAAATATCTATAGATGCTTTCATAATCACATCCGCTGTTAATATTGGTGTGCATGCAATTCATGCACGTTTTTGTGCCATTTCCCCCTTTTTTTTTTTTTTTTTGCCAAACAAAGCAACCTTTTTCCACACACACAACAACTTGCTGCTTAAAGCTACATTCTCTGCATCCTCAGGCTTTTTGGTAGCAGATTTAATGTAGTAATTCTCTTCAGGTCACTTCTATGCCCTTCTATGTCTACAGGCAGTCATCAGAGCCTCACGATATACAACCTTAAAATCATCAGCCCTGAGGGAATGTCAAATTGAGTTTTACACACTAATGTTGACATGACGACTTATGAGAGAGAATTTTTTGTATTTATTTTTCTTCACCTAGAAGGCTGTTGCATTAGTATATTTCAGTCTGTGTCCCCAATGTGAAATTAATACTTTTTCCAAGTATACAACGTTTTTATTATTTTTTATTTTTTTTAAAGAAGTCTTATACTTTCCAAGACTGCATTTATTTGATGAAAATACAGTAAAATCATGTTGATTTGGTGCCTGAGAAACTTTCTTCAATGTTAAAAACAGTTGTGCTACTTAATATTTTATAAAAGTATATATTTTTTCAGGATTCTTTTAAATAGAAAGTTTAAAAGAATGTTTAAGCATTTATTTGAAGTAGCAATCTTTTGTAACATTATAAATGTCTTTCTAACTGTCGGTTTGATCATTTAGTGCAAACTTGCTGAATAAAAGTATTCAGTTCAACGTATCACCTTCAGGAAATAGATCTAGTTAAGCTTCCTCGGTATTATGCCCGTGTCATGGTTGTGATGATTGTGCTTTAAAGCCTTTAACTGTCTTTTGCTAGAGGAACAGTGAAGCTTCATGGCTTCTTGCCCCAGCTGACCCTCCTGCAGGTCCTCAGCTGGTACGCAGACAAGTGCCGGAGGCAGACTGGGTGACAGCAGGTCTGGAAGTGAAGGTCAAAGTTCTCTCGTCCTCTTTTTTTCCAAATCCACCTTCTCTGAGTGTCCGTGACTTTTAGATAGGGATGGGTATCGTTAAGGTTTTAATGGTATTACTACTCTTACCGATGCTGCTTATCGATTCGGTACTTTAACGGTATTCTTATCGGTACTTTTTGTTTTTTATATATATGACAAATTAAGAGCTGAATTAACATTGCTTTATATTCTGAAATGTAAAATAAATATTTAATGAAATGAATATAAAACATAAATTTGTAAATGCACCAGTGTGCAGGCATTTTGTGTTTTATACATAAGATACAGTAAGAACATGAACAAAGAAACAAAGTAAAACAAACTGACAAATACAATAAAACAAATATACAAATGAAATGATATAAACAGTGCTGTCATTTTTCCATGAAGTTCTACTAACATTACTGTTCAGGTAAGTAATAGTCTACAAAAGAAATCTAAAAGTAATCAAATGTAAATTAACACTTCATAGTTTTCAGAGTATGTATTGATAGATTAAAGCTTATTAAAGCTATAACGTTATTCAGATTAAGAGCAGATTTGCATTTTGATGGCCCAAGCGCCAGTCTGTCACTTTAAGACAATATATTGACACACATCGGATTTTCTCCCAACTGTTCTCCTCCACTTAAGACATAAACTGTGTTTAAGTAAATACTCTCCAAGCCGGCCATTTTGACATATTTTGTACCGAGTTTCGGTACCCATCCCTAGACAGACAAACATGTCCCGCAATTTAGCAACAGTAAAGACGGCATCTTACAACAATCACCGATGGAGCTGATTCTGACGTTAAGTTTGGGTTTTAGGGAGGAACGAACGTGCACCGCTGTGAAGGGAAAGAAGTTGCGCAATACGAAACGCAGCTAGTTTTTAATAGCTTTACCTCATGTCTTCTTTTGCATAATCCTTAGAAGCCAAAATCGAAATAAAAAAATAAAATTAGCTTAAAACAGCCACAGGC